CCTCCTCCTCCTCCTCCTTCTTCTTCTCTCTCTCTCTCTCAAGCTATAAAGCTATACATCTGAGAGTCTAGGGGTTGAATATACATCTTTCATTTCCAAGTAGAATTGATATTGAATTAACATAAATAATTATCCTATTCTCTTTTTCCTCCACTCTTTTTTTTATGTGATGAGAAATTTCCCATAAGAAATGATATCTAATGAATTGATCAAATTGTCTGCTTTTCAAATTTTGAAACTTGTTATGTAAATTGTGTCAAAGTTAATCTTGGTGTTGCTTCCACAGTTTGCCTCTGACTCATAGCTGCCTCATGTAAGGAAGAAAGAAATATTAACCAGTTGTCCTACCATTCTCCCATTGTTGTTTCCGTCACACTGTTCATCAATCTTATTCAGGATATTCTTCATTTTACACTAATCCTGTTTTAGCAAGCTTGATGCCCTTCTCCAGAGAATATTTTCTCCTAATAACATGTCCAAAGTCCGCAAAACAAAGTTGAGGCATCTTTGCTTCTAAAAATCATCTTAACTGTGATTTTGCCAAAACAACATTCTTTTGGAATGCCGTAGTTCAATATTTTTTGTTACCACAATAATTCAAATGCATCAAGTCTTCCTTAGATATTATTCAACTTTTGAATGCATATAATTGAAAATAACACAACTTATCCTGGACACCTATGTATTTTAAAGGCCTTTTGCAGATTTACCTAATTCAATCCATTCATTTCTGCTTAAATGAGTATTATTATGGATCTGATGAAAGTAAGATTCTTGGCAACTTTAATATTTTCTTTGTTCATCCTGATGTTTCTTACCATGGTGAGGATTGTTCTTCATGTTGATATGTTTCCATACTGAAGGGGGTGTCCTAACTGGAGGTTTTCATCTTCAGCGGTAAGCTCCTTAAGTTTACATCACATTCAATAAGCAAGGTGGCTCCACCTGCATGACACAAACTATCAATGAATTTTCCTCCTGCCCTGATGTCATGTTCCTCTTTATGTGATTCAGTGTTTCTGGATTATTTGTTAAATTTATCAGTTGAATTAAAAGGATACATATTTGAAAAATGTTTCTCTTCATTTCAAATAATATAATAAACATTTATTCTGTTTGAACAACTGTACTACATTAAAATTCTTTATAAAAATGGAAATTATTCTGTAATTTCTATTTTTGCCATGCTATTCATAATTCATTGTTCCCACAAACCATTAATTTTGCATTAAATAAATATAGGTAAATAGCTTCCTGTTCTTTCCTTTTCAGCCAATAGCAATAATTTCTCATTCTATATCCTCTTCTTTTATTAAAATTAATTTTAAAGAAAGTTTACAGAGACTTTGGATTTCCATTCATTCATTGTTGCCCTTTTCTCTCTGCCCACCCCACCCTCCAATTTCCTCTCCTCTTTGAAGAGTATAAGAAAAATTCTTTCATTGTTCTACAATCCCTCCCCCCAAGTCCACTCCACTATGCTGCCCTAGTTCTGGACTCCTGTCATGACAATAATACCTTATCATACATACCTTTTAAATGGTTCTCTCCCTCTTCTGTTTCAATAAAGTATACATGATTTATCCCATCTTTTTCAGTCTCCCCCCAACCCCTATGTCATTCCTCTTTTATAACAGTGGCACTGTGCAATATTTGTCCTTTTGTGACTGAGATATTTTACTCAGCACAATGTCCTCCAGGGTCACTCATTTTATATAATATTTCATGAGTTCCTTGTTTTTCAATACAGCATAGTATTCCATTGTGTGAATATAACACACAGCTTCTCTATCCATTCATTTATTGATGGGCACTTGGCACCAGCAGTCAGGAAATCAAAAAGCGTATCACGATGGGAAAGTCTGCTGTTAGGGACCTAAGGTACTCAGGAGCAACAGTGTCTCTCTGGAGACTAAGGTGCTCCTGATACAGGCCATGGTATTTGCAATCGCTTGTTATGCATCAGAGAGTTGGACAATGACTAGGGAGGACAGAAGGAGAGTGGATGTTTTTGAGCTGTGGTGCTGGAGAAGGGTACTGAATGTACCCTGGACTGCCAGGAAAACAAACAGATTTATCTTAGAGAGGATTAAACCAAGCTACTCCTTGGAGGCAAGGATTCTGGGGCTTCGTCTGACATACTTTGGACATGTTGCCAGGAGGGACGGGTCCTTGGAGAGGGACATCATGCTTGGGAGGGTTGAGGGACAACGCAGGAGGGGAAGACCCTCTATGAGATGGATTGATTCGGTGACTGGGTTAATCGGGATGGGTGTGTCAGTGGCGGTGCGGTTGGCGAAGGATAGAGCAGGGTTTAGGGCTGTTGTGCATAGGGTCGCTATGAGTCGGAAACGACTCGACGGCACATAACAACAACAACAACTTGGGTTGTTTCCAACTCTTTGCTATTGTGAGCAAAGCCTCTGCTTGGGCAGCAGTTATGGTTTCTTTAGGGTATATTCCCAGTAGTGGGATTTCTGGGTCAAATGGTATTTCTATTTATATTTCGAGAAAGTGCCATACAGCCTTCCATAGTGGTGGCACCATTTTACACTCCCACCAACAGTGAAAGGGTTCCAGTTTCTAATGCAGCTTGAACTTCTGGAAGTTCTAGCTTGTGTTTTACTGCAACTTATTAAAAATTATCTTCAGAAGAATTTAATGCGTTGATTTATGTATATAAATACTATTTATACAAATACTACTTATAACTTGAGTTTTTGCATTAGATCACCTTGATTTAAAATGGACACAAATATATGTTTCTTCCAGCCAGTTTCCAAGGAACTGTTTTCCAAATTAGTTTTCATTGGTGACTGTTTTTGACATTGTTGTTGTTAAGTGCTATTGAGTCATAGATGACCAATAGTGACACTATGAAGGAAAGTATTGAACACAAAACTTTCATCTTTTCTCCAGTTCATAGAGTTTTAGGAGGCAAGAGTTTTGTTTTGTTTTGTTTTGTTTTGAAAGAGGATGCCGCTCCTGCTTCCAAATTTGTTTTATTCCAAAGGTCCACAAGTAGCTGGCCTAAGTGCCACAGCCTAAAAAAACCTTTTTAATTAGAGGCGAAATCCAATCTGTTCACACCCTATTGCAAACAAAAGCCACTCCCTAGTCTCAACCTCAAACCAGAAAACACACTTCAGCAGAATCCAGCTGCTCTGCTCATCTTCCCAGCCTGGAAATAGCCTGGTTTTGACATTATATTTCTT